CTTAGCTTTTTCTTTAAAAAATTTTATAGTTTCTAATAATTGTTCTTCACCATCAGAAGTTAATGATAACAATGCACGCATTGCTCCAGTACCATCAGCAATGCAGTGATGAATCTTAATAGCCATCGCAGAACAATTACCTCCTTCTAAACCATAATATATATAAGCGTTCCATAAGGGTTTTGTGAAATCTAATTTCTCCGATAAATTTTTCATCGCACATTCTTTTAATTCATCAATAGTTCCAGTTGATAACGTATTAACTCTTATATTATTAGAAACATCAAAGTTTTTTACTTCTTTCCAACGATACTTTGACCATGAACCTCCACCATAGACTGTACATTTGAATCTTGGAAATTGAAGAATAAGTTGACGAAATACTTCTTTCGTTAATTCAAGTTCTATATTTCCTTCTAATATCCAAATTAATGCTATTGACCATTCATTTTGATCATGCTGTATATATAATAAATAATTATTATAACATTCATTCATTTATTATAAATATATAAAAACATAAATACATATATATATATATATATACATACAAATATTTAAATACATTACCTCCATACGAAGACAAAAATCATCATTCCCTCCTAATTTTTTTCCGTCGATATTTTTTGGCATTATTTTTTTAACAAAAAAATTCTTCGAAACGATAATGTTCTAACTCTGAAACGTTGATTTGATTTTTTATATATATTTAATTTCTATTCCATAAAAGGAATACGAAATAAGCATGGGGTTAGATTCGAAATCTATTTTTAGCATTTTGGGGAATAGCAAAATTTTTAATTCGTCTAACATTCATTTTTCAAATATTAATTTGTGGTACTGGAATGATCTATTATTACACACGTGTCTAAAAATTTTTTATATTCTGTAGGTTGTTTTCCTTCAAATTGAGTATAACACTTTACAATACTGGTTTAGAGAAATGATATAATTGTGTTGAAATTGGGAAGCGCCAAAAAACTTAATGTAAACTAGTAAAAATGAAAATTAATTATATTACAAACTTACTTCTGTTAGGCAAATAATTTTGTCATCATCTGATAGGATATAATATTCAGAAAAGGTTGAAACTTATTAACCTTTTCCATGATTTCAATAATCTTTTTTTTTTTTTTTTTTAATTCAACAAATTTGTTATTTAGCTTTTAAAAAAATCATAAATTTCTTTTTTTTTTTATGATTTTAGCAATTTAATTAAATATGCTCTTCCATAACTTCTGAAAGATATGAAAGATATCATTATTTTCAAAGTTCATTCTTTAAAACCCATATTAAACCAGAGGTGCATAAATATTTTTTTTCTAATATTAACCATCGATAAATTTGTTATAATAGAGCTTTGATCTATTTTTGTATTATTTGTAAAACAATTTAATATAAATAATTGAAACTTGAAACTTCAAAGGTGTTTTGTTTTTTTAATGCTTGTTCATTGTTACACAAGTCAATGGATAAACTTAATTATATGTAATTAGAGAAAAAAATTTTTGCGATGTGAATATTAAAGATTTTTAGATTTTACTTTCAAAGAAAGAAGAATTAATAAAAGTTTGAAAGGTGAAAAGGACATCCTTATATATAAAATATATTACAATAGTAATTGTTAATTGACTAGGAATGGTAAACCATTGTAAGTCTGGACAATTCGATAAAAATTGCCGTTATCACATGATTTAAATTATCTTTTTTGTACCATATCACAAACCCGTTATCAACAAATTAAACAATTTCCTTTTATTATCGCGAAAATGTCAATTAAAGAAGAAAGATTTAAAGGATCTTATGGCAGAAGAGCTTCTAATTCGCTTAGTGTAGAAGAGCTTGATGAATACAAGCGCGATATTCCTCCCTCAGCTACATCGCGACGCCTATTTAACCCAAATAAAGATCCTATTGTAATGATATCCAAGACAAAGAAAAGCGCTGAAGCTGACGACGAGTTTATTCCTGCTCGTCGAGCCAATGTAGGACGCAAACTTTTTAATTATGATGATAAAACATTTGAGCGGGAAGATTTATTTAAAGTAAATATCAAACGGAACGATATTATTGCTCAAGCTTCTGTAGTTAAATCAAGTTCGCCGAATAATAATCATACACCCACAAAGAATGTCAATGAATCTAGAAACAATAATCTTGATCAGATTGATGGAAATATGCGAAAAGATAGTTCTAATTCTGAAACTCTTGCCAAAACTATTAAGTTACTTTCAAAGAAAATAGCGTCAACGGAAAAAATTGTTGAAAAATTCAATAAAATTAATATTGATGAAAGTTCTGCATCATGTAAAGTAATTTATGATGAACAATATTGGCAAGAAAAGATTGAAGCGCACTTGAGGTGAATATAGTTTT